ATTATATAGCATATATTATGTATAATATATATATTATATAGTATATATTATGTATAATATATATATTATATAGTATATATTATGTATAATATATATATTATATAGTATATATTATGTATAATATATATATTATATAGCATATATTATGTATAATATATATATCATATAGCATATATTATGTATAATATATATATCATATAGCATATATTATGTATAATATATATATTATATAGCATATATTATGTATAATATATATATTATATAGTATATATTATGTATAATATATATATTATATAGTATATATTATGTATAATATATATATTATATAGTATATATTATGTATAATATATATATTATATAGTATATATTATGTATAATATATATATTATATAGTATATATATATATGTTACATATATAGTATATATATATTATATATTATGTATAGTATATATGTATTATATATTATGTATAGTATATATGTATTATATATTATATATATATATATATATATATTGTATATTATGTATAATATAGATTTATTATATTTAAATATATATGAATATATATATATAAATATTGAAATATATGAATATATAAATATATGGATATAGAAATTTATTGTATTTATATATATATGAATATATAAATATTGAAATATATAAATATATAAATATGTAAATATATGAAAATATAATGTTGAATATATATATATATATACATATATATATATATGTATATATATATATATATATAAATATATATATATATAAATATATATATACATATATATATATATATTTATATATAAATATATATATATATATATAATATATATATATATATATATATATATATTATGTACATATAGACATGTAGATAGAGATAGAGGTAGATAGGTAGAGATTTTTTAATTATCCTGAATAGTAAGAAATAGATTTTTATTTATTTATATATTTTTCTTGTGAACAGTGCTCTAGGAAGTAATAGAATTTTATTTATAGATATATATAAAAGAGTTTTTTCTCTCATCTTATGAAATACTCAGATATTTTGTCTACACTAGGAAAAATAGATATACATTACTATTTTTTTCAGAATTATGTCCTATTGAAAGAATAAGGTGGATTCCCAAATAATGGTCTACAATTTTCTCTCTTAGACGCCTGGCAACTTTTACAGTGTGTGGCCTGCTCTTTAGTAGTCTGTGGCTCTCTTACTTGTACTTCAATGCAACAGTAACAGATAAACATGGAGAGCGTATCAAGCTTCGAGATGCTGCTGAGAACTTTTTGAATTCCCCAATGTTCCTTGAATTTAAGAAGAACATGAAAGCAATATATGATGATGCAAATGAAAATGGATGGAGCAATGCATGGTCCAACTTTGTGGACTCACTTGATCCGTTTGGAGAAAAGCATGCGTTGAAGGTCAGTAGACTTTTGTTATTATCTGAGTAATCATATAGTGTCATCATCATCACCATGGGAGATATGAACATTCCTGTAATAGCCTTGAATTTATTTATATTAGTTAATTTTTTCTTTTCTTTTTAATTTTTTTTATGACTAGAAAATAAATTTGGGGAATACATTTTCTTAACCCATTTGCCACATTTGGCAAGAATAGATGCCATACCCACTTTGAGACACGTTTATTTATTGTATTTACACATAGATGGCTCCACAAGTTCTTAATCACCAAACAGCCAGTTATCAAGAACTACCTATTTCACCTGTTTACCCTTTTCCTTCACTTTTGGAAAGGGTTTTTTTGTATCATTTCATTGTCTAAAATATTATAGTGACAATTTGGTAATCATAACATCAATAACAATAATAACTGTATCGATAGCAATGGTATTAATGTTCCCGCCAATGTAATGAATGGGAAAATCAGGGTCGGTAACTAGGGCCTACTGATCTCTGTCCATAGATGGCTCTGCTAGTCCTGATTTCACCTTTCCTTGAATTGGCGGAAAAAAATGTATTCTTACTAGTGCTATAAATATAGATGGTGTTATTTTTAACAGCAAATTAGGATAACGTTAAATATTTTTGTAAATCGATGAAAAGGGTGAACAGGCGAGACAGGCAGTACTCGTAATTGGCTCATTGGATACTTAGTACAAGTGTAGCCATCTATGTGTAAAAAAAATTGTACAAGTCGACTCACAGTGGGCATGGCATGTACATACATGCCATCCCCGGCAGCAATGGGTTAATGTTTGGATAACAATTGGTCTCATAAGATTTTACATTTACAGGTCCTTGGCTTAGGAAAAGGGGCAACACAGGAGGAAATAACATCTACTTACAGGAAACTAGCCAAGGAGTGGCATCCAGACAGGTGGGGTATGCTTAGTGTTTTGGAGTTGGAAAGGATACACAAATGTATTTCTTTTCTAGAATACTTTTTACTTGCAATTTTTGAAGTGTGTGGTCACACAGATCAACCCATTCATGATGGATAAAATTCTAAAGTTTGGCGAATCTGGGGTGTGCAAGTATATCCTGTGCTGCACTGGGGCTCTTGATACGTTGTCCTGGCTGCCTGGACTAGGCTCATGATGTGATGAGAGATCACCCAGTGAAAATTTTGCTATTGAGGGATTTGATCTTTTTTATTATTATTATGAAACAAAAAAATGGAAATGAGTATGAGCATAGGATTTTAAGATGGAAATTATTTTCCATCTAGTCTCAGGAAAGAAAAAACTGGCAGCTAACCCTAGACTATGAATGCCTTTGATTAATATTTTATAAGAAAAAAAATTAGTTTTGTTGAAATTCATCATTATAGAATATGAAAAAGTTCTCCATTGAGAAATGTGAAATATATGGGTTCTTTTTATAAAGATTTATACATGATTTACCATATTTTCTATTAGAGATCTCAGTGTGATTGACATATTCCAAAAAAGATTGCAGCCCCTTTTACAATAGTAGTTGACATGATACTTTTTTTTCCAACTTGATTTACAGTAATTTCTGTAGCATTAAACTCTTGAATCCTGTATCTTGCTGGCTGGATGTTATAGTAAATGGTTATGTTGCCATCTACTGTGTTGTCTGGTGTCTTATCTCTTTATGGAGTGACTGTGTTTCCAGTTATATATATTTTTTTTCTACTTTTTTTTTTTCTTTTGCCATTTTCTAAGGTCTATATTTGTCATTTAATGTACTTTTATCAAGATGGTAATAGACTGTTTTACTGGTACAGACTCCATATCATATCTCTAGGTAGTCTATTACTCAAGGCAATAACCATAGCAATAAGTAACACTGTGTCATTTGTTAACAATTTCTTATTATTCAGTTTTCAATAAAAACCCCTATGCCACCAGACATGGTGGATTGAGTGTGGAAATAGTGTCCTTGAAACAGTGCTCTTTCAGCCATGGCTCATGGATGGTTCTTTCCACCCTTGTTTACTGGTGGAAATAATGCAATCTCTAAATGCTCACTGAGTCTGGGTTGATATTTACTGTTAAAGGAAAATGAAAAAATATGTAGATCAGATCTTTAAATATTGAATATTTTATTTATTGATATATTGTTTTACAGACACAAAGAGGAAAAGGAAAGTGCTAGCGAAAAGTTCATCAAAATTAAAGAAGCATATGAGAAGCTGTCTACTATTAAAAGAGAGAGAGCTTGGAAGAACAAAAGATCTGAGGAACTCTGACCTTTTTTTTTCTTATTTTTTCCTTTTTTTCTTTTACACAGATGCCTCTACAAGGGCTTTGTAACCAAGGAGTCAGTTAGGAGGCCTGCCTAATTCAACTGATTACTTCATTCCTTTATTTTTTCTAAATACTGTTTATTAGCATAATGTATTATTAATAATATCATTATGATTATAATGGTTACTAGTACTACTAATAGTAATGAAAAAAAAGTCTTCAAAAGTCAACATAAAGGGTAACTAAGAGAGACCAGGAAGGCTTAGTAATTGACTCTTGGTGACAGTCCACTTGTGGAGTCTTCTCTATGTAAACAGAAGTAATAAACATATGTACATATTCTCCTGCATCACCGGTTGTTGCCACTAATAAACACTTATTCAAACCAAGATGAGCTACTTTGGTTAATTTCTTCTGGGGGTATAAATATTATGCCTTTCATGCTCAAAGAGGGTATTAGATTGTACAATCATTCCATTGTTATTTCTTTTTCTTGCTGATTATATAATAAGAATAAAGTATTATGTCTTTTCTTAATTTTTCCAGTGAAGACACAAATGTCAAATTTGTAGTTGTGGTAGAAACAGTTCATTGGAAGCATGTGCAAGTTTGGTTTGGTGTCAGAGAACTGTGTTTGGCAATGGGTTCAGGACTTGGTGAGCCTAGGCAATCAGTGACAGGTTGTTGGCTGGGGTACAGTCCATATGGAGCAGAGGGAATATTTATTGGAGTATTTGTAATGGTAGGTTATTGATATCTCAGAAAGGGATGTTGTACTTCTGTAATTTATTGTTATGAATATGAGAAGCATTACTATTTGTGTTCAGACATGATCTCATTATATGATCATATTTTATATTTAATGAAGAGGGCTGTGTGCTTATTTCTAGAGGTTTAGATTTAAAGAACTTCAAACCTTTAACGGCTCAAAAGCATTTTTTATGGCTAGTAGTATAAGGTATTTTAGATTTAATGGGTTGTCATATTGATGACATTGAAATCGCACTAGATATATGTTTTTGCCGTCCATCAACCCACACATACATATGCGTGTGTGCACGCACACCCCCCACAATTGATTGATATTTATATATTCTTATTGGTTGGTTTATATACCTTGGAAGTTTTGATTCTGCTTTTACAAGGTGCCTTTGTTTATTGATTTATACATCTGTAATTCTGGGTTTATTTAGTTATAGAATAAGAGAGGGAGTCCAGAAGTTGTGATACAATATATTAATACAGGAAGTATATTTTGTTTTGGTTAACTGGAATTTCTTGTTCTCTGATTGCAACTGTCCAGTAGATGCCATTTTTATCCAGTGTTCCCTGGGCAATCTCTCGCTTCAATCCAGAGTGCAAGATAATAAGTGCTTGTTGTCTAATCAAATGGTTGAACTTGTTTTTAGAAATATTTCAGTTGATACATATATTAAATGAAAAAGTTTTAGAACCTTTGAGAAGGAAAGAAGTCATTGAAATCAAAAATAAAAAGTTCATCAGTAAGAGGTTATAGATTTGTTTTTTGTATTTTTTGTATTTTGTACAACAATGTCTAATCATTTTCCCATCAATTTTATTTATTGATAAATAATAGTATGCCATTTAAAGGAATTATTAGTTTTGTTCTGTATTCCATGCTTGTAAATTGCAAAAACTTGTTTGCTCATGATGTCATAAGTAAGACTGTTGCATACTTCCAAAAAGGTATGTTTATTTTAATATTTCATACCAAATTATATAATATTTAATATAACTGAGGAGTTTAAATATTTTAAAATGTGTGATTGTAAAGTTCCATTGTACAAGATTGCAAACTTTGTCCAGTTTGGAAAAAATGCCATCACTATTTCTTCAAGGGTGCATGACACAAACACTAAATTCAGTGCAGGGAATAAAAAGATTTCTGTAAACCATTAACTCTTTTATTACCCTCTGAAAACAATAAGAAAGTCTTCCACCCTACAAACATCAAGTCATCTGTACAAATTGAATCTCAATTTAACTGGGGAAACTAATCAGATATAGCACACAAGTGAGGGTATACCATATCATCTGTATATATTTGAGACAATTAGTGTGGTTGCAAAGAGGTTAATAAACAGTGATTCTCCTAAGATCAATTGGTGATGTCAGACACTGACTATTGGCACACAAGTATATTACAAATATTCAAAATCAATTATGATTAGACAATATCATAAGACGTGTTTAAACACACTTTAATGAAAATACTGCATGCATCTACTTTAAATACTATATTTTTGTTCCTTCTTCCACAGTTTAAATACTGAAACCTACCAATTAAAAGCAAAACACAGTAAGCACACAGTAGCTTAAAAAAAATCAATGGATAAGCTGCTTACAATTCATTTGACATTGAAGCCAATGCAAATCTCGTCTTCTAATGCAAGAACTGCAAACAATTGAGCACATGGTCAGTAGACTAGCAAAACAGACAATCATATTCTCTATGACTAGAATTTTTAGAGAAATACAATAGCAATAACATAATAATGTTCAGTTTAAAAGGGAATAACCAGACAACTGCACTCTAATATCACATCAAAATTTCTGTTGAGAGAGAGAGCGAGAGTAAGGAAACTTCACTTACGTATTCTTAATACATAAAAAAAAAAATAAAAAAAAAAAGTTTAATGAACATACATTAATTATCTGCGAAAATAATGATTAATGCAGACAAGGTTCTTTAGTGTATCATTGTGAACCAAAACTACAGAAATGGTCTAATGTAAATGTTTATCCCAAAAAATCCTATGAGATAAGTCTTTGGAGATTCAATACCTTACTGAATTAAGACCTTATGAAATTTACATATTTGTACTGCAGGTATGATATCAAATTGAAAATCAGTAGCTATTTAACAGCATCATTTATATTTTATATGAAAAACAGATTTTAATATGTTCACTGACATAGGCTTTTGCTTTTTGTAGGACAGGGCATCTATATGATACAATGATATTTGTAAGTGCTCCTTCAGTGATATAAATTAATATGGTATAAAAATGTAGAAAGATATTTAACAAAACTATAACTAATCTTTCAATTTTCTTTTGTGAGTCAGCAGACTGAAGTATGTATCAAATAATTTACCATTTGACAGTAAAGAACCCTTGCTGCAATCACCAACGTTAATATACTATTATAAATTAATCAACAGTTTTATACTCCAATACTTCAATTAATAAATTTCTGCGCCAATGAATTATCTAAGCATGTAACTCATCGTGTGAGTGAGTGTGCATTGTGTGTGAGTGAGTGTGCATTTGTGTGTGAGTGAGTGTGCATTTGTGTGTGAGTGAGTGTGCATTTGTGTGTGAGTGAGTGTGCATTTGTGTGTGAGTGAGTGTGCATTTGTGTGTGAGTGAGTGTGCATTTGTGTGTGAGTGAGTGTGCATTTGTGTGTGAGTGAGTGTGCATTTGTGTGTGAGTGAGTGTGCATTTGTGTGTGAGTGAGTGTGCATTTGTGTGTGAGTGAGTGTGCATTTGTGTGTGAGTGAGTGTGCATTTGTGTGTGAGTGTGTGCATTTGTGCGTGAGTGAGTGTGCATTGTGTGTGAGTGAGTGTGCATTGTGTGTGAGTGAGTGTGCATTTGTGTGTGAGTGAGTGTGCATTGTGTGTGAGTGAGTGTGCATTTGTGTGTGAGTGAGTGTGCATTGTGTGTGAGTGAGTGTGCATTGTGTGTGAGTGAGTGTGCATTGCGTGTGAGTGAGTGTGTGTGTCTATGTCTATGTCTGTGTCTGTGTGCGTGTGTGCATTTGTGTGTGAGTGAGTGTGCATTTGTGTGTGAGTGAGTGTGCATTTGTGTGTGAGTGAGTGTGCATTTGTGTGTGAGTGAGTGTGCATTGTGTGTGAGTGAGTGTGCATTTGTGTGTGAGTGAGTGTGTGCATTTGTGTGTGAGTGAGTGTGTGTGCATTTGTGTGTGAGTGTGTGCATTTGTGTGTGTGTGTGTGCATTTGTGTGTGAGTGAGTGTGCATTTGTGTGTGAGTGAGTGTGCATTTGTGTGTGAGTGAGTGTGCATTTGTGTGAGTGTGTGTGTGTATTTATGTATTTGTGAGTGAGTGCATGTGTGTGTGTGCGTGTGTGCATTTGTGTGTGAGTGTGTGCATTTGTGTGTGAGTGAGTGTGCATTGTGTGTGAGTGAGTGTGCATTGTGTCAAACAATTGAGCAACATGGTCAGGTAGACTAGCAAAACAGACAATCATATTCTCTATGACTAGAATTTTTAGAGAAATACAATAGCAATAACATAATAATGTTCAGTTTAAAAGGGAATAACCAGACAACTGCACTCTAATATCACATCAAAATTTCTGTTGAGAGAGAGAGCGAGAGTAAGGAAACTTCACTTACGTATTCTTAATACATAAAAAAAAAATAAAAAAAAAAGTTTAATGAACATACATTAATTATCTGCGAAAATAATTATTAATGCAGACAAGGTTCTTTAGTGTATCATTGTGAACCAAAACTACAGAAATGGTCTAATGTAAATGTTTATCCCAAAAAATCCTATGAGATAAGTCTTTGGAGATTCAATACCTTACTGAATTAAGACCTTATGAAATTTACATATTTGTACTGCAGGTATGATATCAAATTGAAAATCAGTAGCTATTTAACAGCATCATTTATATTTTATATGAAAAACAGATTTTAATATGTTCACTGACATAGGCTTTTGCTTTTTGTAGGACAGGGCATCTATATGATACAATGATATTTGTAAGTGCTCCTTCAGTGATATAAATTAATATGGTATAAAAATGTAGAAAGATATTTAACAAAACTATAACTAATCTTTCAATTTTCTTTTGTGAGTCAGCAGACTGAAGTATGTATCAAATAATTTACCATTTGACAGTAAAGAACCCTTGCTGCAATCACCAACGTTAATATACTATTATAAATTAATCAACAGTTTTATACTCCAATACTTCAATTAATAAATTTCTGCGCCAATGAATTATCTAAGCATGTAACTCATCGTGTGAGTGTGTCTATGTCTATGTCTGTGTCTGTGTCTGTGTGCGTGTGTGCATTTGTGCGTGAGTGAGTGTGCATTTGTGTGTGAGTGAGTGTGTGCATTTGTGTGTGAGTGAGTGTGTGTGCATTTGTGTGTGAGTGAGTGTGCATTTGTGTGTGAGTGAGTGTGCATTTGTGTGTGAGTGTGTGCATTTGTGAGAGTGAGTGTGCATTTGTGTGTGAGTGAGTGTGCATTTGTGTGAGTGTGTGTGTGTATTTATGTATTTGTGAGTGAGTGCATGTGTGTGTGTGTGCATTTGCATGTGTGAAAGTGAGATGCATATGTGAGTGAGTGGTACATTTGTGAGTGTGTGTGTGCACCTGCTTTTATTAATGCAAACATGCATGTTCACACTTGTATGTATGTGTGTATGAGTCAACTAAAGAGTTCTTAGACCTAAAAAAAATATTAAATAACCTATAGAATCACTCTTTCTACAGAAAACAAATAGGTGAAAGTTTTGTTGGCCCAAAATGGGTCAAGTTGAAGAAAACAATAAAAATCACATTTGTAAACTTTCTTCTTCCTTATTTTACCCCAATTTTCTATGCTTTATGAGAAACAAATGCATGATAAATGAAATATATAAAAAATGTGAACTTCCTCAAGACTATTTAATAATTACTGATATATGAGGTAACTACAGTATTTTGGCTGCTGGCTTTATATCATATCACAAATGATTATGCCACCTGGAACAGGCCGAAGAACATCTTTGTACTTCCGTGTTACTCTATATCCGCTGAATTTTCTTCAATTTGGTCCTTTTAAACAGCCCAATGTGTTCTGTGGAACCCATCAGCTGAAAGCAGAATAAATAAATGAATTCATAATATATGCACACACATACACACACACACACTCATATATATATCATATATATATCAATCATATATATATCATACATATATCATATATATATCATATATCAATCATATATATATCATATATATATCAATCATATATATATCATATTTATATCAATCATATATATATATATATCAATCATATATATATCATATATATATCAATCATATATATATATAATATATATATCATATATATATCAATCATATATCATATATATATCAATCATATATATATCATATATCAATCATATATATATCATATATATATATATATATCATATATATATCAATCATATATATATCATATATATATCAATCATATATATATCATATATATATCAATCATATATATATCATATATATCATATATATATATCATATATATATAATATATA